TGACTATTATGATTATGGTTGTAAAGAATACTTGGAGCGAGGTCATTTGAAGAAACATGAAACTGAAGCAATAGCTTATCATCTTTGTTTGTTAAAAGATGCTTTTCAAAAGACTCGACAAGAAGTCCGTTGCCAAAGTCTATTTTAAACATTTTGGAATTATGAGTTTTTATAAAAACTGGTGTTTTTTGTTATCATTTCATAAATGAAGTTTCAAAATATTCATTTGCCTGGTGAACCTTGTCTTTATCACTATTCTCATGAAAGTATTTAAAATAGCCTTGATTTCATCCAAGTGAATCAACACTATTCCTTTCATCTTTTTCTTTTGGAGTATCAAAATATTTATTTCTTTTCATAAAACAAAATATAAGCTTCTGATAATGAAACCAATTGTGGAATGGCCTCCTTTACTTGCAAATCCTGGATTCATCGGTCTTATAATGAAAACTTTTCTTCAAATCTAATCACTTACTTGTATTTCAAACCAACTATCTGATGCCTTGTGTCGAATATAACAACGATATGTACCTCCTTTGGGCTTACCATCATGAATCACTACAGCTGTCAAGTCATAAACAACACCATTGCTCTCTATTCCTGTTTTCCTTATTCAACTTGGATATTATGATTATTATTATATATATACCTGGACAAGACATCGATAGATATTCTGTCATATCCAAATCTCGAATAGGAAAATGAACAATCGAAATATTCTTTTCCCAAACAAAATTACTTCTAACTATCAAATGAACACTTGGTTCCTTTGTTCTCCTTTCTTTACTTACTTGGCAAATCTCTTCATCACTAAAATCAAACAATAAGGTAATCTTCGCAAACGATATCGATAAAAATGACCCGTTTGAACATCATGATGAAGTTCTTGTTGTACAAAACGACTCAATAATGAAGATAATGAAACCTATGAGAATGAGATAGTACTTGTACATTCATATATTATTATCTACTACTACTCTTATTATCAAGTACCTGTGGAATCATGTTCCGTTCCAAAGAATCCTTAAACAATGGCATGGGAGGTAGTTCCAAACTAAGAAATAGAAATTGGGATGACTTGTGATCCTTTTTGATTACTATGATAAGTTTCTATTTCCATTTCTCCTTCAAATTTATTCTGAATCAACGGTTTTTGACCTATTCATTTATATAGATATTGTCTTTAGCTTTCTCTTGGCAATATGTACTGTCTGCTCGAATAAAATCATCTCGTGATGAAGCCCAAAGGATTCGAGAGAGATCTATCATATCCTTTCTCTTTCTCAGCTCCGTTGCAGCATACAGAATTTGGAAATACTCTATCTGTTACTTCTTTTACTTCTCGAATTTTACAGTTGTTGAAAAGAAATGTTAGGATAAACTGACAATACTATGACCTCTGTGGTTTTGACCAGAGTTGGAATCACGAATCTATCTTGGAACTTTTACTAGACAATTCCAGAAAGGAAAGACTGCTTTATTTGCTAAAATCACGACAGTTTTGTTACTGCTTCTTGCGACACCGTAACAATTAACAACAGTTATTTCTATAGAACCAAAACAGTGACTTTAATGCCTGAAGACAAAGGCATTCATAAAACTGTGCTTTGTGAACTTAGCGGCTCTTGCTTGAGTGCTCTTTAGTAGCAGTTATGGAAGAATACGAAAGAATAGTTTACTGCTGTGAAACTTGGGGATAATCGGGCATAGTTGAACTTACATAAACAACATGAATTCCAAACCATAGTATCCTGTAGAATAATTTTTGTATAAACTTGAAATTCAGCTAGGATGATACTCTTTCAGGAACCTTTTCACAAGTTGAATAATTCAAATCTTCATGCAGCAAATCTTTCAGAATCCAATTATGACTCGTTATATTCAAAGCATCATACAAGTGTCATCTGCCAAACGGAACCAATCCACCTGTCGGATTCCCATTTTAGTAATCGCCACATTGGGTTGTTTCCATTTATAGAAACATCAAGCCTTACAAATTGGCGGGCTTCGATCAACGTGATAAAGCTGAGAAAGATATGAAGACTTTTTCATGCAAACGAAATCAGCTTGTGAAAGAAACAAATGTTGCAGCTGAGGATCGTTGGTTCTTTTTACGGTTTCGTACTCATGAAACAAGGTTTAGCAATCTTGATTTCGAAATTCAGACAATGCTACGCAATGTAAAGGCTTTAATAGAGCCGCACACATGGAACCAAACTTGGCCAGAGATGAAACGTATTGTAACCTTAAAAGAGGAATGGAACATAACAGATTTAAAGCTCATTCACTTGGTTCCAGGAATTCGTAGAAAATCAAATGGTTTGATAGAATTTTTCAACAACGCTCCATTTCGGAAAGCAAGAGAATTTGCAAGAAGATTCCTCAGCTGCCATGATGCCTTTTGCAACGCCATCGACAGGAACCTAAGTTTGGTAGACGAACTTCTTCCCAGCATACTGCCTCTTCAACTACCGCAGATAACAACTTTCTCGGAAAAGCTGATATATAATCTACATCAATTGCAATCTTTTTCCTTTTCAGTCTACTTTTTTCGTTTCACTACACAGTTTCAGGTTAGCCTATTTGCAGTTCGTCCTTCAATTGAAGAATCTACTTGCGGAATTTGCGTTGACGAAATAGCAGCTCATCAACTTCCTTGTCACCACAATTTATGTGAACAATGCCTACTTGTTATTCAACGAGGTGATCATCTTTGTCCTTTTTGCAGACAAGATATATGGACGCCTTGCGGCAAGTTTGTTCCTTGTACAGAATTTGAAACAGGAAGTGCTGTCAATGTGAGGACGGGCGATTTATATAGACCGGACGAAGAGAACGGAACTCGCTTCCCTGACTTGTCCGATTACGTTTTGTTGTCTCGTCCACTATACAACTATTTTACTAGTAATAATAGTTTGCCTTCGGATTATTATTATTACAGTATCCTACAACGAGGAATTGTCTCAATCTCACCCAGAAGATATGTCTATTTTCTTCCTTGAAATATTGGGAAATGGGTTATGTGGTTCAAGTCTGTTTTTCTAATAAAGTCGTGTTTCTTATATAAAATGTGTTGTCAATTGCTTATTGAATCCATATTGTTGTTGAAACAACTTGATGACCTACTGTGATTTCATTGACAAAGAACAAGTTACATCGAAATCTAGCGTTCTCATGTTGGTTATTGTTTTCCCTGAGGAAAAGTTACCATTCAGCTTATTGGATGGAGATAGCTTTCTTTTTTTCCAAGAAGCAACATTTTTAAGCATTCTTTTGTTATGAAAACTTACATTTGTGTCGTTTGGCTGAATTAGATGTCTTATCACATAGCGTTTCACTGTTGGACAAGGAATGTCTCTTTACCAAACGGTGGCAACAACAGCTGAAACAGATTCGACTAAAAACGCAAATCAAATGAAAATAAAACTTTTACAAAAACAACCCTCGAAAAAACATCCAAATAATTATCCACTACTGAGTTTCNACTTGAGAGAAACAATTTCGAATGGCCTTNAAGTGACTTGTATGTTACGATTGTTTCTGGAAATTGCGGCAGAATCATTTGTAGTTTGACTTTCTTCCTCTTCCAACAAGTTGGCTGCTTTAACCTCAGCTNACGGTAACTGTTGAGCAAGTCGAATAACACTAGAACAGTGACGGCCAAGCGACTCATATATACGAAGAATCNAAGCATTTTCTTCTTCAGCCTTTTTAAGAGTCGATATAAGAATACCATCTCTTCCATCTTGTGCTTCTNCTGAAATACTAAAACTTGGATTTCCTTCTGTTGTAGAACAAGTCCATCCACTCTCTCGACTCGATTCTCTATTTNAATCATCAGCAGCTCGATATACTTGCGCACATGGAAATTCAGGAGTATGTGGCAGCACTGCATAAGAAAAGGTGTGATATCCCATATCGCATTCCTTGTCTGGACTCTTTGGTGATCTTNATAATGTAAGCCGCAGTGTACTTCCTTTTGCAGAGTGTCCATATTTACTGTCGTTCNATAGGGCTNAACCATAACCAGGTTCTGATATATCACTAAAGCGGTGTCCGCAAACTTCAAACTTGGCAGCATCCCAAGATGTGTTGCGGTGAGTCGGTCTCNTTNCATATCCAAATTGAGTCTCATAAGCAACTCTTTCTGAACGAATACTTGTAGGAAATTCCACAC